ATTCTACAGTACCTACCCACTAATTACTTCGCAGTCATAACTTGCAACTATGACGAGTTCTTATAGAATAGACGGATGGCCTCCAGATACATAAGTAAACATCATATTCAATCGATTTTATAGGTTGTAGTGACAAAGGACGTTAGGGTGGTTTTGAGACAATATGGCGTGTTCTCACAGGGTGGAGGGGACACCCACTCTCTTCCCATGAAAGGAGCCACGAGGATTTTCCAACCGGGGATGAAATGTGTATCTAAATAAAGGCACAATGGAAAAGCCTTCAATGCTCAATACCTTTGTTGCACTCAATAGACTAAGAACCTTCAATGCACAATAGCCCTTGTTTGTTGCACTCCTCAGGTTACATTCAGGGGTTTCACTAAGTTACTAAAGCCTTCATAGCTTAAGTTTCTGTATGTAGAGGTAAGATAAATTCAATACGTAGGTACGTTTCTCTTAGTGTCGAAAATGGTAGGTAATAAGTTGATATTTATCGCAGCAACTTATTTCTCTTATAGAGGTATTAGCTAGACTGCTAGCATTACTGATGCCTCGTTGGCCGAGTGATCGCAAGTGCGACTGCCGGGGAAGGGGTCTCGGGTTCGATTCCCGGGTCGGGTAAAGTATTACTGGGTTTTAAAAAAAATCTCAGTATTAGCACGGAGTCTGGAAATGTACCCGGTATATGGCACACCAGCATGCACCGCCTATTGAGATATACTTACACGGGACAGATGGGACTCATAACATAAATAGTGAAAAGTGGTTGTTACATTGTACAGTGGCATTAAGTGCCGTAATGCCCTGCCTACCCCTTTGGGGATAAAAGGCGTGATGTTATGTTATATTAAAGAATAATCTAGTTATGCAGTTACTTATAACATTACCTCATTTACAATATAAGTATTTTTATCAACCCTTTGTCAAACTACTATGGTATTTTCAAAATATCGTCTGAATAGATCCTACATGGTTTGCGTGTTCTTTAAAGATATTCCAAAATCGTAGTCATTGACGCAATTGCAATTGTGATTATTTATTTATTAACTAACATCCAGAAGTAGAAATGGTTTATTTTAGACTGAAGCTACATAGCAATCACAATTGGGCATCGAGCACTTAGTTAAGCTACATTTAGCATCATTAGTAATTTCATTAGCTGCTGTCTGACATAAAATAAAACTTCCGAAAATTAATCGAATAACTATGTACCACTTGTCACTGGAAATGGCATCCCTGTTCAAAACTATTTTCAATTTGAAAATAAACATGAATTCCTGTACCAAGGCACCAATCTGGGTCAAATGCACCTCGGTAAAAGCGGTAGGTAAATTAATAATAGGAATGATATTAAAGATGCTCTCAAGACCTAACCCTTTAAACGGCATTTTCCGTTTCAGAGTCGCTGCAAAAATAGGGGTTGCAGGATTTGATTGCTTTGTAAAACTAAATATCTGCGGGTCGGTCGATATGCCTCCGCTGATACTACTTTTCTAAAGATCTAAGAGGTTCATAATTATGTGCATCTCTTTGGGTGACGGATGAATCTTATAAGTAGGTACCTATACCCACGACTAAACAATGAGAGACTTGTGTAGACATTAATAGTATTACTTACTACTATTTAAGACTAAGTATTCATATATTTTCAACACAAATTATTTTAGGACTAACTCACTGTTACTCAGTATTTAGTAGGTACGAAACTGTTCTAAATGAAAAACTTTAGAACTTGGAAAAGATCTACTTACAACATCGAAACCTTCAGTAAATATTTTACTGCTGAAAAAGGCCTATTATCATCAGGAGAAAAAGAAGGATTGAGCACCAATTACCACGCTTGCTTAATCCGCGTTGGCGATTTCAAACTTATAACAATTAGAATTTATTATTCTGTTAATACAAGTGCCTTTTCACACGTTCCAGTCGTCCTGTAGACGGCGCCGGTGGTCATGCCAGGAATCCGGTAGCTCAATGTATGGTAGGTATGGCCATGTACTTATAGCTTTCACACACGTACTTGCGTAATTTGTATACCCGGGACCGGATACCCGGCAACCGGAACATGTGAAAAGGCACTTACTTGTAAAACTACTTGCATAAAGAATTGTTTCATGTGAAATAGGAACCCGCGTCGTTGCGTAGCAGTCGGTCGTATGCAGTGCAGTCTGCCAATCAGAGGGCCTAGCACGAGTTTATTTTACTTTGAATACGTTTCTGTCGTTCGGCGCTCTGATTAGTCTGCTCCAATGAACCAACCAATGAAAGGGCTTCGCGGTAACGTTTCGATCTCGTTTCCAAAATCGTACTAAGCCCACAGAGCACCAACTGTGCAGTCAAAGTAAACCGTTCCGGTTGTCGCGCTTAGATGGCTTACTACTCGAACCGTACATTGTACGGTATACGGCGTATAGAAAAGGTAATATTAGGTACTTTGTAGGTAGGTACCTATACATTACAACTTTGGATTAACGAAACATAAACAAAACTCAAGACGAGTTGATTAAAAGTTCATGCATCGATATCCAAAACGACTATGTTCAACTAGACAACTAGTAAAACACTTTGTGAATTAAAATTAGTAGTTCCTCTCACCTTAAACCTAATCCATTAACCGCAAATTCCAGTGGGCATGTCACTACACTGTCTGTACCTACTATAGTTTCTAGTTCCACCTACGTAGAATGATACAAGCAACTGTAAAGCAATGTATATGTTGTTGTGTGTCTACAAGTCTTAAGTAAATAAAAATTGTATCCTGCCTGCCTCGTTGACCGAGTGGTCGCAAGTGCTCTGCCGAAGACTGCCGGGCAAGGGGTCTCGGGTTTGATTCTCGGGTCGGGCAAAGAATTACTGTTTTTTTTTTAAATCTTAGTAACAGCACGGAGTCCGTGCCCGGTATATGGCAATAGGCTCACCCCCTATTACATGGGACTCATAACATAAATAGTGAAAAGTGGGTGTTACATTGTACAGTGGCATAATGTACACCTCTGCCTGCTATTTCGGGAATAAAAGGCGTGATGTTATGTTATATGTTATCATCGCTACAATCTAAGAAAAACTATGATCATAAGACCATAGTTATACCCTATGTGTAGCCACTGTAAAAGTGTAAACATCTATAAGTAACAAAGTACCTACCTAATTAGATATTAACTGACTAAAAACAGTGCATCAGACCTAATTCAAAAGATTAACGTGAACTATTACGGAAATCGATGGAACTTTTTATAATAATAGAAACATTTTTAATCCATCACTTCGATTTTAGTACAACCCCGCACTCGCCAGTAGTACGACTAAAAATGAAACGTCCAAGTTTTTTATATTCAATTTGATTGCAAACCTCGAGTGCTCTTGATTGAACTGAACTTGTGTGGGTATGGTGTGGGTACTGTGGGTAGCTTTGATTTCCGCTACGCGCTGCCGTTATCATGGTTGTGTTTCGTGTGTTTAGTCTGATATATTAACGTATCTAATACTACCTACATATGGTGAACCCATTCATGGTTATTCAATCGTGTTCCTGATACCTCAGATAATAGGTCTATGCATACAATCCCTTAATACAAAGCTTCTTACTATCTAAGTAGTTTATAATGTTCCTAGGTACCTATATTCCTATATTCTGTACTATCTAGGTAAATACTTGCCTACGGCTAGTTAGCACCTAATACGTATGTAAATTCAGTAATTACTTAAATTAATCAAAAACGAAATCGGCATGTTTCACGCTCCTTCACGATCTACCTACCCCCTGAAAAAAATCTTTATTGAACGTTTAGATATTACCTATCTAATTTAATAAGGACTATAGGTTTCATTTAGACTACCTAGGTCCAGCTACTTTATTTCTGGAACTATTTAAAAAAAATAACTAAGTAGTCTGCGTAGTTAAGAGGGCTCTATTGCGCAAGTCGCAATATGTTCGATTACTTGCAGTCTCCAGTACTAGGAATACAGACCTGAGTTGGAGCTTGAATAGAGCTGTGCCGGCATAAGCTCTAGACACACGCGTCGAGGCGGCAGCGCTTTCCGAAGTTTTCTTGAAGTACTTACCTACTGAAGTGAACTCGTGAAAATTTTGAAATGTGTAAGCATGATTTTTTATTTCATTACTACTTTTAAATTCTAATTCCTATTTTATTGTAGGTAGGTATTCTATAGGTTTTCTACTAAGGTGGGTAGGATTATTAATTTGTTACTTACTTACTTATTTACCTATTATTAGGAAAGTTCATCTAAATATTTATCTTTTGATAACATTGAATTTCTACAACGATAATACAAACTTTATCGTTTGTTGTGTGTCAAATGTGTTCATGTCTAAAAGAATGCCTAAAAATTGTATTGTTGGGGGAATAAAACCCAAAAATAGTAATATGAATCGCACCCGGCAATAGTTTCCGCGCCAACAGTAGAATCGAAGTGATTGGGTGAAAGTTGCCAAAAATAAAATTCCTGTTTTAAAACATCTATTACTTCTTTCAATCGTAAAAAAAATATCTACATAGGTATAATACTAATATATGAGGCACATACACGCGTAATAATAAAGGCAGTATTTTTTTTACATTTGTACGTTCCAAAGATAACTGCGTAAATAGAAACGTATCGATGTAAAATGTCATTATAGTCCAATAGCAATCCGCTTATGATCATATACTGCCATTTATAACCAATCGGATCGCTTGAATTAAGTCTTTTGACAAATGGAATTTTAGGAATCTGTAAAGTTTCTGCGTTAAGATTTTTTAGTCTGGTGGCGTTTTCGTATCTACCTTGCGTTTCATAGTTTCTTCTCTTGAATTCAATAATTATTTATCAAAATTGTAATTATATTATTATAAAGTACAATAAGTAAATAGAAATTAATAAAGTTTGTTAGATTCGTGCTTCAAATAGATTGAAATATTTGGTTATGATGTTATTTTACGACCGAGTATATTTTTTGACGCTGCGTAAATTATTGAAATAACATGAAATTGTTTCTCTAGCTCAAATAAATGATAAGAAAATGGCATCTTCTAACGCGGAGTTGCAAGAAAGGAGTAAACTTTACTACAAGTTTACTAAGGTTTTGACCCTGAAAGTAGCGCAAATCGTGGTACAGAGCAGACAAGGCAAGAAAATAACACATGAATTTAACTCCAAGCTCCCGGACAACGGCGTAGAGTCCTCGCCGCAATGGGTAAGATGTTTTGTTATTTGTTTATACAAAGGAACACATGCTTTCTGGAATGTAGTTGTTACAACGTGCTTTACTGACTGCAGAATTATTGAACTTCATTGTTTAAAATAGTTATATTTTATAGTTACATATTACCTACTTAGTACACTTGTTGAATTTTATCTGTCTAAAATTATGTTTGAGCAGTGGATTTTGCACCATTAATTGGTATTTGCAATAGCTGTATAGTATTTTCAAAGTGATTTTTGTCCCATGGCACAAAGTAGTGTTTAAATGTACTTTGATACTTTGATCTAATACAAAATGTTTTGTTATTGGGTCTCGCTATGTAATATTTTCTTTACTTACTTAGTTCATGTTTTCAGAAATAATGTTTATTTTACTTAAAATTTACACTAAAAGAATAAAATTGGAAAGTCTAAACCCAAGTGCAAACTAATAAGACTTATTTTTCTATACAATGTAATGAAATATTGTTGTGCACAATAAATTGTCATTTCTCACATGGCTAAGGATTTATCACCTCATAATGTCTTTATTCTTACAATTTGTTTACAAAGTCATTTAATTGCTCTTATTTAGGAGTGAAAATTGAAAGTTCATCTGTGTAATCCCATGCAATGGTATTGCCTATTTCTTTGCTACTCTACTCATTTTCATTATATAAGAGTTTTCATATAAAAAAGAGCTATGTATTAGTTCTTGATTTAGCACCTAGCTATACAGGGTGTAGATGCTGACAAGTGATGGTAACAAACAAGTTTTATTTTCATAAAAGTAAGGAATTAAATGTTTCTTTTATGTATTTATTAATGTAATCAACTGCTCAAGGCTGATGCTGCTTGAATAACACAAAAACAAAAATGATTCAAATTGTAAGAGCAATTTCTTTTTCTCAATGTTTCGGGAGCATTCCGTGATTTTACACGTTTAGTATATATTAATAAAGAATGTTACATTCATCAGTATAAGAGTAGTGCAATTTTGCCTATCTCTTAAGGATTTGACAGCGTAACATAACATAACATAACATCACGCCTTTTATCCCTGAAGAGGTAGGCAACAACTGTACCACACAGAAGTAATACCCACTTTTCACTATTTATGTTATGAGTCCCATGTAATAGGGGGAGAGCCTATTGCTATATACTGGCCACATTTCCAGACTCTGTGCTACTACTCAGATTTTTTTTAAAAGCCCCTTAATACTTTGCCTGACCCGGGAATCGAACCCGAGACCCCATTAGCTAGCAGTGTACTTGGCCATCGAGGCAGGCGGAGGATTTGACAGCCACCATGGTTTATCTTTAAAAAACCGTTGTGAACTATTTGTGCACACAATCTCAAATTATACAATGTACACTGCACAGTACATATTTATAAGAAGTTATAAAAGAACTTCTATTTATTTTTATAAGATCAATATTGTCCTTGCGAACAGGTTGTGTTTAATTATCTCAATTTTTCTATAAGCTACAAGTTACTTCAGCGAATGTTGAGATGTATTTCTGCGAATGTCAAACTGACTAAAATATGTAGGTTCTCAGTTTCTCAAGAAGGTGTACCGAAGATAATTTAATATTACATCCACATAACAGTTATGTTATTGGTCCCACAAAACTGAAGGTTATTTCTATAACCAACCTCTTAAGTATTGAATCAGTTGCATGCATGCTAGCGATGTTTAAACTTACATAGTAGTCAAAATATATAACTATTCTCCAGGTAAAGTTAGCCTACTTTCCGTTTGCTAAATAATGCAGTGTTTCCAAGTTTAGAGTTAAATAATTTATCCATATTGATTTTCCATTGCTAGAAAAATGGATGGCTCAATTTAAAAGCAGATAAGTTTGTCACCGGGAAATGTAGGTCAGTCCATGTGGGACTGGTGCCACTCAAAGTTGTTTTAAACCAAAGAGTTTTTAACCTTCACTTGTAGTTTTCCAATACAATATCTATTGTTTTTGTATTTAATCCTCTGGTCAGTGTTTATTTTTTGTTATGGACTTTGTTACATTTTCCTCTAACTTCATTGTTTTGATTTGAATTATATAACTTGTATACATTTTATACAACTTACAACTTAAAGAAAGTAGAATAGATAAAGGTCAACTCATACCCTCACTGTTGTCCATATATATGGGGTAGATAGAAATAATGTACCTACCTGCTACCTATATAAATGTCTTACATTTTTTATTAGTCCTGTAGTTTATAGGGCTTTTATTAGGATTTATCACAATGTATGTAATAGAGGTTAGTTTGTACTGTAAAACTTTGTTGCGTCGTAATAGTGTTAACTTGTTACTAATACCAACACATAAAAATTTAAATCAAACACAGAATAATAGTGCTGAGCTCATAAGCTGCTACTGCATGTAATGAATAATCGAGTGGCGCTAGTGCGACCTTCGAGGATCAGGTCTCATGTTCGAAACTGAGAAAAGTGGAAGTTTGGGATTTGAAAGCTATCAGTATCATAATGTTTAGGATTAGTGTTCGATGCCTAATTAGAGGCTTGCGTTGTATTATATTAAGACTTCTTGGCGAAATACTTTTACTGGCTACCACTCTTATTAAGGCACGATGCGATGTTTGGTTAGGTATGTTTTGATTTTATTGTGTAATTTTTATTTAAAAAAAGGTAAGTATATAATTAAAAAAAGAAGGCACGGTGATGTTTGATCTCATCAATTGTACGCAGATTAATGTGTAACTATAAAAATAAATATAAAATCTACCCCTATTGAACCGGAACTCAATGACTAGCTATTAAAGGACTACAAATTATTTATTCTTGTTCTAGTTCAACTTATCGATTCCGGACGAACCGGGAGTGACTGAGGATACGAAACGTGTGCTGAACGGAGAGGTAGTGGATGCACTGACTAAAGTTTTATGTATCGAGATATCTCTGCACACTGTTGATGGAGATGACATGGTGCTGGAGTTGTGGACGGTCAAGTTGTCTCCAGGCAGTGAGGTCTGCTCCCCTTCGACGGTATACTATCGCATGAGCGTGATGCTCAAGTCCACCCTGACGATATCCAGGATAACACCTGCCTACAAGCTGTCGAGGTCACAGCATAATGAGTCTTACAAGATATCCCATAAGATCTACGGCGGTGCACCTGATTACGATGTCCTAGGTAAGCTATTGTTATTCCTTTTTGATGAGATTTTTGTATTTTGAATGTATTGTACCTACACCTATGAAGTTTCCTTTTTTCTCTAAATTCCGTAATTGTTAATTTACTAAACAAATTCGCACTTTACACGAGCTGCGAGCTTTATTATACTTACCTAATTTTTGTCTTCACTGACTAAAGACTTACATTGTTCAAATTAATAGCTTCTTCAGTTTTGAGTTTTTGGTGCACCTAGCAACCTTTCAATTCACATAAAGATAAAAATTCGTCGATGAGATTATTGAGATAATCAAACAAAGAAAATAATTTCTTCAACTTTGTAATATCGACATAGTGATAAAAATATATAATTAAGTCACCTATAACGAGTGGATTTTGTAAAATATAGTATAGTATACAATCTTCAAAAGAAACAATACACATATATCATAAATTAATCAACACACACGTTAATCCTAATATGTAAATAAACTGATACCTAAACACGATAGCAATCACTAAGTAGTTACATAAGTAAATTAAAATACCTAACTAATACATGATATCCTGCACTCAGATAATCAAGTAATTAGCATATTGGCGTTTTGTTGACAACGATTGTGTTCATTAACATTTTATCTATCATGTAGAATACAAACAGGAGCGTTCATTAATAGATGCGCATTGTTAAGTCACAACACAAGCTTAGCAACACACAACATCCTGTTCGGATGACCAGCCAGTTCACAAACATAACTCTAGTCAACGTACGCTGTGCCTTATCGCGATTAGTCTCTCTAGATCTATGTGAGCCTAGTCAATCGATAAGTAGGTGCGCCTTTTAATTAACTCTTGTTTTTCTAACCCGGCAAGATATGGGTGCCTACTGTATTTACTTAGCAATATCTTAATTATCATCAATTGCTATTGCTAAGTACTTATGATAATTCATGTTGCTGGTTGAAAAACCTTCGGTAGTGAATCTTTTTAGGAGTAGCTTTTAGTCTGGTTACGCAAACACTTTCTTCCACTCTCATTGGACAAATTCTTTATTAAATAACAAAATTGAATATTTTTATTGTCTTCTACTCTAACGAGTCTCTAATTCTCAGACGTGAGGATATCTGTGAATTTCATCATCAGCCTATAAATGCTCAGTGCTGTGCAAAGCCTCTTCTCACACGGAGTAGGTTTGAGCATCTAGCAAGCTATTAAGCTTGCTCAATGCGGGTTGGCGATTTCAAACGTATAATTAGAAATTATAAGCCCAGGTTTCCTCACGATGTTTATCCGTGGTGTCTAAATACTGTTAGAAAGTACATATAACTCGGAAAAAGTTACATTGGTAATTGCCTTTGGTAGGTTTCGAAGCCGCAATCTCTTGTCTTGTATTCGAAGCGAACGTCTTAAACCTTTGGGCCACCACGACAAAGTATTTATAAATCTATGTATTTACTATCTTCTAATACCAAAACAATCCCATTGATTTCTAGGTGAGAAACGCAAGACGATAAAAGTAAGTGAGCTGCACACACCTATCGGGACTTTGCTGATAGAAGTGGTGTACAGAACGAAAATGACGATCATGCCTGAAGCGAGGCAGAAGATTGAGTATGAAGCTGCACCGGCCACTACTGGGATTATGGTCAAGAGTGACCACTTCTACACTGAGAGCCCCAAGTAAGTATTGCTATGTTTAATTTTTATTTATTTATTTCATGGTTAATGAACGGCTATATTACTTATACAGATTTAGTAGGAAAATATTAACATTAAGCCACAGATTCACACGAATAGTGACTAAATAGGTAACAGTTGAGTTAAAAGTAAGATTATGAATGTATCAAAAACAGTAGGCGCACAGCAAGAAAATGATTTAAAGAAGAAATTTAGTTTAAAATAGTTATCAAAAATGACTTTACTGATCATGGTTCTAGCTTGCTTTAGGCTTGGATCAAAGATATCTTTATCTAGCTAATTTTATTAATCTTCTTTTTCTCTTCTAACATTATAATGTGTTTGTGTGTATGTTTTTTACTCAAGCACGTCAAAACCGCTGAAATCGGTATAAAATTTGGAACAGGGGTAGATTATGATTTGGAATAGGCACGGGTGAAGCCGTTAACAGAAGTTAGCTATTATGTATATTCATTGATTATGTAGGTAGGTATAAAAACCCGTGTAAGTAAATAGACAAATATACTCATAGTCATAGTGTACCTAATTTGTTTTTCATTAAATGAAGTTAGTTAATATTTTGTGCTTTATGTTGTCTATTTTTGTAATAAACATGAGTTGTTCTTATTAGTGGACCAAGAAATCAGTGGCAGAGCAATATTTCTTAAGTATGATTATTATCTAAGTACTCGATCAAACATTACTCAATGAGTGATTAACTTCTGAAGTGTTTCTGTTGCCACAATCAGGAATCTTTGCAACTCTTGCAGAGACAACATGATATTTGAAAATTATTCTTGTATGTATTGTATACAACATTCGAGTGTAAAATGCTATTAATATATTTATACTTTAGCACTAAAGAAAAAATAATAGAATTCTAAGATTTATTGCTAACAGTTTTCTTCCTGGCTTTTTCCCAACTAGGTTGATTATATTCAGCTCAATGTCGATCTTAAACGATCCAACACTAAACTAAAATAAAATTCGTTCTAGAAAAAACCGAAATGAGAAGAAAGAACTGGACCTGTCCAAACCCTTGACGGCAGGAGCATTTGTTGACCAGTCAAAGATACAAGAATTGCATAGAACACTCAGTGAGCAACTACCTCCAGAGCCACCCATGGCCTGGCTGCTTGCCGAAAAGGAAAAAATGGAAAATGTAAGGAAACATTTCAATGCAGTAGTTCAATAAATCAGTTACAAAATTATTTATTTATTATGTATCAATATACATTTTATGTTATATCTTCGTGTTTTGATGTTGAATCTTTTTTAGGCATGGGGCCATGGGAACATACGGATCACTAATGTTGCCCGCAATACCAGAGGCTTTGCGTTGCCGGCCTTTTAACAAATTTTTATATGTTACAGAAAATGAAAACGCTGACGACGTCAGACAATGACAACGTGCTAACAACGTCTGACCACGAGAACGCGAACCAGCCGAGCTGCAGCAGCAGCGTGCCGGTGCCGAGCTCGTCCACTCACGCCGTCAGCAGGGCCATCGAAGTACCCAAGTCTAAGAATGGAGATAAATACACAGGACTTATGGTAATGCTATATTTTTAAATTATATCTACCAATCATAAAATATCATCCAGCCATCTGCAAATACCGGAGTCATCATCAAAAAAATCATTCATAATTCATATCATTAAAAATATTCTAAGCTAGTGCTATTGCTAAGAAAAGAGAAATGAGTTCACACTATTGTGTCTCAATTTCCAGGAATTCCCCTTTGCTGATGGCAGTCCCATTGCGGAATTGGCGAACTTCTATCAGGAATGCTTACAGGCAAGGTCTATCAGTGACGAGTGGACGGACATCGTGATCGATTCGGGATCGGCGGACTCCGAGTCGCTGTCGAAACAACTCAAGATGTTCGAAGATGCCGTTCCCGAGTTTGACAACATGGTAGCTTCCATGTTCAGCAACTCTGAAGGCTCAGATCGCTCCTAAACCCGACTGGAAGTAAGACTGCATGATTGTTATTAGAGTAAGGCCCTAGTGTTGCGCAGTGCGAATAAAAATATTCAAATAAATCTGAGATTTTAAATTAGTTGCTATTGAAGTCAGTAGTTGGATAGGACAACGAAATCAGCATTTATATCGACAAAACTAAAACGTGTAGTTGTAGGAAGATTGTAGGTTCTCACGTGTTAACTTTAGATCGTAAAATATAGATTACAGAAGTTTATGTGTAAAACTGTAATATCGATGACGGCTGTCAGATGACGAATTTGACAGTCGTCGTTAACGTCAACTACAATTTTGCAAACTTTATTGAAGTTATTTAATATTAGCTGTTTGCCGTTTGCAGCAAGCCAGTGTGTTTGCGAGGATTTTATATAAAATGTTTAGTAGTGTGTATACGCCGTGTAACGGTACCGTTTCTCATTTCGTGTCCCTTCGCACTGCTTGAAAGTTAAGGGTTTGTAGATATTTATATTGTAATGTTATCGACTATTGTATTGCACTGGATAGTGTAAAGCGCCATCTCGTCTAACCTGAATCGATAGAGTTGTTATGTACTGTATAATATAATCTACATAAAGTCTTTAGTCTAGCAATACTCAATAGTTGCATCTGTTTACAACTAAAAAAGTTATCAGTATTTACTTGCCAATATGTCCAACAATACTCTACGAAGTCATTGTATTGTATCGAAATCAGATTGTGCAGTATTTCGCAGATGCTATCTTTTTTCTTTGGCTGGAAAATACAAGGATAGCACAATGCGAAGCTCTTACACATACTTACAGTCTTACTAATAAAAGTCTATAACTTGTTTAACATCCTGGTACTTATTTATTGAACAGCGAGTGAATAATCTCTTACACAACACATTAATAAATACAAAGTGGATAACACTCGAGTAACTTTTCTTATGCTACCTACAACATTGACAGAAGGAAACCAAAATTACACAAGAATAACATTTTTACACAATGATCTTTTTTTAGTAATCATCGCAAATGCTCCAGGGTGAAGTCGCAGTTCATTATCTCTGGCTTGCCGTATTGTGTGCAAGAGTCATGTTAAGGAGACATTTTAAATGCACACAACACAACTATTATAACAACTGTACAACCGATAAATGTCAAATGTTGTTTAATAGTAGTGAATCTACTATACCTCTCTTATGCGATACATCTATATGTTCATTAGTAAGACTGTTAGTATATAAAACATCATGTTTGTTGGACATCATACTCAATCTCAATTCTATGGTCAAACATAGTGCAAATTAATTATCTAAAGTTTACTCTACAATGCTCATATTACTGTGACTGATGCTTTTTAGGCTAATGCTATTTTGTATCATATTTATTAAACACACAAGAAACCCACTATTCTGATATTTTCTAAGGAACGTTTGCGTCGCAGTATATAAGGATAAGAAGGTATTAGAAAAAATAGGGGTAAACTCATGGAGCTAACTTCTTATCTTGTTGTGGAAACATCATCTTTAGCTAGGTGTATGATCTGGTCTGTACATCTATTAACCTCTGGTATGTCGGAGTGTACATCTACGCGAGACACAATGCGTTTTCTATTGTGTCTTAAATACCGATATACAAGGCGTTAAGTTGACACACATATGAATATTTCTCCATGAGTTTTCAGCGTATGATAATCGACACTTGCGGCTATAAATATAAAATATTTATAACTTCAAGCAACGTAAGACTGGGAAACTAGACAAGACTTTGAATGACGTACGACTGACCTGATAAAGGTAGCCTCTATTTTATAATATATATTGATAACGCGCCGCGGGCAACAGATGGCTTCAGTTGACATTAAACTACACACTTATTACAATTACACAATACAACTGATCAATCGTTCACGATTACTCAGTGACATAGTTTATTAAGCGTTCGTGTTATAATCAAAATTTTAATATTGTTTCTTGCTTTATAATGTAATATCATTTATGTAAATTATAAGTGTCTAGTTTCTAGGTATCATCAGTTCTATGTACAATAATGTTCAATGTAAATATTTGTGTGAGAGATAAGAATAATTTATTCGATGGTAAAGGTCATTGTAGGCTGTAGACGTCAACATTGTTACTTGTTGCTTATAATAAAATTGTAGGATTTCGTGTCAACTACTGTTAAGATAAATTTAGTGTAGATTTTACACGTCGTGTGCAGTCATCTTAATCTATAATCTCTTGTATACTATCCTGTAGCTAGATATTTTCCACACACATAACAGTTTCGCAAATAACAGTTCTAAGTTTTCTTACAAATAAGTAAGATTTAGCTATACATAGTAACTATAATTATGCTAGAATACTATATATAATACAACCATATGGCATCAACAGCGGCCTTTTGCAACTGTAAAATAGTGCAGCGTAGTTCAGATTATAAATAAATAGATAAATCATATGTAAGTGGAGTGCCTTCGAAGCAACGACTAAGATCTAAAGTCATTAACGTGCTAACCCTAATTTTTGACACCATCTCCATTCTGGTCTATGACAACTTATTGAATTGCTGTCGAAATCAATAGCCCATCCGAATCTATAATCTTTGAATTAGTATTTATTTTTGACACTACTTTTATAGAATTTGTGTCATATGTTGTCCTAAAGAGATTTTGGCCTTCGGAGGCCTTAGTATGATGTTTTTTTTACGTTAAAAGTACTTAATCGAAATAAGACCGCGTTTGGTACTCTGATTGTTTTAACATAAAACAACGTCGTAGTAAGACATTAAAATTCTATTGTATGTGATTTACTTCTCTGTTTTCCTATACTTTACATCTCTGTATTTTATTATTTCGCGTTTCTTATTGTTGTTTCTAAATGAGTTGTCATATGTCAGAAATTTAACTAAAATGGCTACTGCAAGTTACATGTAAATCTAACATCTTCATTAATTTATTTCCTTTAAGTTTTGGTGTTGTTAGTTTGTAACTGTTTTATTTCGCTAGTCAGTCGTTAATGGTTAAATTAAATACATTAGTGTTATTGTCAAACATTCAAAATTCTATTGTGCCTCGTGGGTTCGATTAAATCGAAGAATATTTATTGCACATAAAAATTAATATCTTCGGGGAAATTAAGTTAAGTTACAAAATTAGCCAAAGTTATTCTTTTTTGTTGTTTTTTTGGGTATTATTGTTTATTATTAAGAAATATTTTTGATTTTATTTGGTACGAAGCGGCTGTACGTATGTGATTGTTATAAAACAATTGAAACAAGAGATGCAATCACGGTAATAATATAATTGTTCCGTTAAATTTACTTTAGTAATTCCATAGGTACACGGGGCGCACATTAGTTAAGTAAGTTCGCATTTCACTCATATTTAGCTAAGTTTTATATTAGGGCTCGAAATCTATGACTCATACATTCAAATTACGTATAATATGCGTAAATTATATATTCTATAAACTATTTGTTATAAAATGTTGGCATACACTTATTTATTATATTATATTAATATTGTTATAACAATTAAATTGCTTTATTTAGGACTAAGGAGTATAAATTAAAACTATTGATTCCCAGTTCTTTGAGCTCTTAAATCGAGTTATTGGTATCTTTATAAAAGTTTAGTTACATGGTGTGAGAGGAAGCTAAATATTCTATTTTTAGGGAACAGAGTAAAGTTTCCTAAGATTGGAAAAGAAGGATCCTTAGACCAAACGAAGTGATCGTGGCTGGGGGGCTACTAACTGCCCAACAGGTGATAAGTGGGATTTTCTATCCATGTTCAATCGCCCGCGAACTTCACTGGTACGGTGTAGGATTTTACGTCATTTATCATTTGTCGTTGTAATTTCAATGTGCGTCGCCACACATTAATATGAATGTGTTATGAATTGTCACAATTTACTACACACCCTGTTTACAGTACAGACTGACTGCCGACAGATAATTATTAATTGTTGAAGGCAAGCCCATAGGGTTAGTTACCATCCTACATTTCAGCTCATATTGTGTGTAACTAAACTTTAATATTCCAGTTAAGAACTAAATCCTGGGTAAATGAGGAACCAAAAAAAGTTATTCCAATTTTCCCTTAATGTTATTTATTATATTTAATTCAGTATTTATATAGTCCATACCGAAGGTAATTTCGTTAGGCGCGGAGGTTATTAAAAAATCATGCTAAACACATTAGGTTATATATATATACATCATATTTTATGGACATTTGAGACTAATGGTCCGTCCCTATAAACATGTCTAATCCGATCTACAGCTTTCTGACTAAATAATCTTGGTAATTATAAAATCTGTTCATAATAATACAAAGATCATAAACACAATTAAAATAATTTAAGTCTATTGTCCTATAGCTTAAGGTCTATTTTCCACTCATTTAACTTTCATTTGTTATTCTGTTTCTATTATGACTGATAGAAAGACGAGGTTCTTATAAATGTAGTATTTGTTGAGAACTAGAAAAAAGCAGTTGGTAAATACGACCTTAAGACAAATATGTAGGGTACATTTTCATTAGCAAAATTATATTAGCTATAAGCTATCATTTGTACACGTACGATTAGATTGTTTCAATATGAGAGCTTTTTAGTGGTATCATTTTAGTAATACATAATATAATAAACATTTTTGCTCATTTTGTATTTAATTTGAACTTAAACTATTATTGTATTATCATGTTCAGTACTTTAAAACAATAGTTTTAGCTTTCACATATAGAATATTATTTAGGGCATGTTTTGACTGAGCTGTATACCTGTCTCTGTTATTTAATTAACTATTGAACTAGTGAAACAGGTTACATAATCTATTAAAACATGTACTAAATCACGTTTATTTAGTATACTTTGAGCAGCAGTTTCTATTAAATCATTAACGCCAGTTTTCATCAACCTTTCCTAAATTTAAATAAAGCCCTAAGCTATGACAGATGGTAACTTAACGTCAATCTTGATTTCACCAACCTATAAGAGAGAACAGTATGAGTTA